CGGTGAGCCGAGATCGCACTCCAGCCTGGGTAACAAGAGCGAAACTCCGTCTCAAAAAAAAAAAGAATTAAAGATGCAAGATAGGGTACCAAGAAACAAAAAAAATTAAATGATGAATTCTGATGTCCAGGTAAAAGTAAATGCTAACTTCCATTTGGCATAACAACATTGAATACTAAAATATCTTAACTACAAAAAATGACTCAATACTCTGGTTTCTCTTCATAACGAATAAATCTTTCAAAAAAAAAAAATGACTCAATTCATAGATTTAACCATGTGAATTCCATAGGGAGGTACAAGTCATCAGTCATCAAAATGTTTTTATCAGTACCCTCGAAATATAATGAGACTGTGTATGATGTTATTATAAAAGATGTCCAATCATAAAGGATAAGTACATAAATGACACTCCAACCATCTGATGGTACACTAAGCAGTTACTAAAGGCATGAGATAGTGCAGGGTGTCTTGGCATGGAAAGATATCCTGGAGCACTCTCTAGATGTCAAGCAGTGCTTCAGGAACTTATATCATTATTTCACTTCTGTAAGTTATGAAGCAGCTCAAATAGAATGATCTCCTTTTTCTAAAATAAAATGTTATATTCATATGCAGACAAAAAAATCAAAAACCAAAATATTAATAAAAGTTAACTCAGTATTCTGCGTATAATCAATGACTTTTCTGTATTTTCTAAGTCTTTTACATCAAACATACTGCTATCCAAAAAAAAGAGGATTTAAAATAGCTACTGGAAAGAGGAAAGATCTGTTGCTCAGAGGTTTTTCCACATCATATTGCCAATTCTTTCCCCTACCTCCACCCATCAGGGAGGGAATAGAAAGGGTCACTTCAAAGAGCACCTTTAGCCAGCAAATTAGCAAAGCTCCTAAAGTCAGAACATAAAAAACTACATGAAAAGCCAAGTGTATTAACAAAATTTGACAAAAAGATCTCAGTATCTTATTTTGTGCTACTGATACTGCCATCAGTTATAGTAGATACACTGTTAAATAAAGGCAAGGTAGTAGAAAATACTTTTGAGTTTATCTGAAATGTTTACTAGGTTCTTAGGAACATCTCTTTGAAATAGCTTGAAGAGGACAGACACAGTGGCTCATGCCCATAATTCCAGCACTTTGGGAGGCTGAGGCAGGTGGTTCACCTGCAGTCAGGAGTTTGAGACCATCCTGGCCAACATGGTGAAACCCCAACTCTACTAAAAACACAAAAAAATCGGTCGGGCGTGGTGGCACACACCTGTAATCCCAGCTATTCAAGAGGCTGAGGCAGGATAATTGCTTGAACCTGGGAGGTGGCGGTTGCAGTGAGCCGAGATTGCACCACTTCACTCCAGCCTGAGCAACAAGAACTAAATAACTTGAAGAACAAAGCCCAGTGTCATTTATGTATGATTTTTGTTTAAGTAACAAAAATAATTCTTCATCGTAGAAAAGCTAAAATGCTTTTTTTTTTGTTGGTTGGTTGGTTTCTTTTTGTTTTTTTGAGACCAAGTTTTGCTCTGTTGCCCAGGAGTGCAGCGGCACAAACTTGGCTCTGCAACCTCTGCCTCCCAGGTTCATACAATTCTCCTACCTCAGTCTCCTGAGTAGCTGAGATTACAGGTGCGCACCACCGTGCCCAGCTAATTTTGTTTTATTAGTAGAGACAGTGTTTCACCATGCTGGCCAGGCTTGTCCTGAACTTCTGACCTTGTGAGCCACCCATCTCGGCCTCCCAAAGTGCTGGGATTTCCAGCGTGAGCCACCACACCAGGCCAAATGATTTACATCTAAGTAGGAATTTCTGTTTCCAGGGAGACTGATATAAAATTGTCTGAAATACAGATATTAAAAGCAAACTTTCAATGTGTCTATACTTTATATTTGGTGTTCTGGCCACGTTTCTATGGAAACTTAAGAATAATAGGCAAATGCGGAAATTGAAGATTTCTACTATCACTTTATTGAATGCCACAAAAATAAATTGAGACAAACTGAAAAACGTAGCTGTCATACTAATATACAATGGTAAATTCTGTGTTTACAAATTCTATTTTTTCAACTCTTCTGATTTAGTACTCCTTATCATCATCCTATGCTTACTGCCTGTCACCTTACCTGCCCTCTCGCCAGCTTCATCCTAATATTCCTCTGTCCAGGGCATTCTCAGTTTCAATTCAGTTATCGAACAAACTCTTTAAAATTTATCAACCTGTTTATTTGATGGGTGTATTTAGGCCATTTTGTTACCTCTATTTTTGTTCTTATCCACTGAAATGAATGTATAGACATAAGATGAAGCCAGGCAAGATGGCACACACCGTGGTCCCAGCTATTCAGGAGGCTGAGGTGGGAGGACTGCTTGAGCCCAGGCCAGGAGTTTGAGGCCAGCCTAGTCAACATAGGGAGACTCTTTCTCTTTAAAAAAAAAAAAAAAAAAAAAAAAAAAAAAAAAAAGCCGGGCGCGGTGGCTCAAGCCTGTAATCCCAGCACTTTGGGAGGCCGAGGCGGGTGGATCACGAGGCCAAGAGATCGAGACCATCCTGGTCAACATGGTGAAACCCCGTCTCTACTAAAAATACAAAAAATTAGCTGGGCATGGTGGCGCGTGCCTGTAATCCCAGCTACTCAGGAGGCTGAGGCAGGAGAATTGTCTGAACCCAGGAGGCGGAGGTTGCGGTGAGCCGAGATCGCGCCATTGCACTCCAGCCTGGGTAACAAGAGTGAAACTCTGTCTCAAAAAAAAAAAAAAAAAAAAAGAGAGAGAGAGAGAGATGTAAATGTTGCCTCTGAATTGTGTAAAATAAACTTTGAAAGGAACTAATCAAGACCGAAGTAAGTTCTCAAAGACAGAACTACTTTATGGGTAAAACATACAATGCATTCTGGATTATTAAAAGTTTTTTAAGAACTAAATTTGGCATATATCACCTCCATGTCAGTCTGGGAACTAAGAACCTTAGTCTGTTCAGTGGCTACCTTACATAGTCATTCCAGATACCTAACTCTTCATTTCTTCATTAGCAACACGGCGGGAATATACACAGGCCTTATTTTGGAACCGCTAAATTAAATGTACATGAACATGTGTGGTAAATCTACTAAGTGGTGTGCAAAATCACTCAGAAGTTTACCCGACACCACTGAGAGCATTAAGTTTTCACAAGTACTTACATGCTTTGTGTATAAATATTACACACTCACATATTTGTTCATTCCTTCACAATGTTTGAATACTCTGCAAAGGGAGTACAGTAGTTCCCAGTTACAAAGGCACATCCATCACGAAGCTTAATTATTCTAACTTTTAAGGAAATTAAGAGCCCACGCAAAGTTTAAATAGGAGAGCTCTAACATATTTCTTCTGTAGTAATGAAATCTCTGGCATTTAAAGGAAACAAATGAGCCCACTGGATTTAAACATCTTTATGATACAATGTTTTTCTATTTCAAAGGAATTTTTATTAAAGAACCACGTTGTTACCCGGAATTATTTTTACCTAGACTTATCTCTTTCCAAAATTCTATAGGCAAAAAAACTAAACTTTTCCTTTCTCCTCACCCCTATTCCAACTGTTTAGAGTCTGACGAACTCCAACAGTCTCATCTTTGATCAGGATTCTATTGGCAGGAGGGGGAGCCAAGGAAACAAACGCTCTTGAGCAGGCAGGGTCTAGCATTTTTACTTCCAAGCCATTACACTACAAATTAAAGTCTGAATTTATGTTTTGTCTCGTTTGAAACTTCTGACCATGAATCACCCCACATCTCTTATAGAGAGGGAGGTAATGAAGCCTGTTAAGTCACCAGAGAATGGCTGGAGATGTATTTCTGTCACCGTGGGAATTTTAAAGTAATCAGAACTCTGTGGCTAAACTTCTCTGGGTTAAAAACAACTGCCAGGAGCGGTGCCTCACTCCTGTAATCCAGAACTTTGGGAGGCCAAAGCAGGCGGATCACGAGGTCAGGAGGAGTTTGAGACTAGCCTGACCAGCATGGTGAAACCCTGCCTCTACCAAAAAGACAAAAATTAGCCAGGCGTGGTGGCACGCCCCTGTAATTCCAGCTACTCGGGAGGCTGAGGCAGGAGAATCGCTTGAACCTGGGAGGTGGAAGTTGCTGTGAGCCGAGATCCCGCCACTGCACTCCAGCGTGGGCTACAAAGCAAGACTCCAAAGAAGAAAAGAAAGAAAGAAAACAAACAAAAGAAAATAGAAAGAAAGGAAAGAAAGAAAAGAAAGGAGAGAGAGAGAGAGGAAGGGAAGAAGGAAGGAAAGAAGGCAAGCAGGCAAAAAACTTTCAAACTCCTGGTTAATAACATTTCACACCCTTCACAGCCATTTTACGACCCCCCCCCCCATTTTCTTTCTATGTTCAATTTATGGTTGGAAGGAATAAAGCAACTTCTTTCAAGCCGATTTAACCTATTAGGAATACCATCTAGTGTCTCATATGGCAACCTCTATTTTGAGTCTATATAAGAAATCCCCAAACATCTGGGTCTAAACTGTCGCAGGCATCAGCTACCTTCACGGATGGGAGGAAGGGAACAATCAGGTCCTTACCTGGCTCCTTCACATCTGGGTGGGTTAAGGGAGGGAATGGGATGAGTACTCCTGAGTTGAGGCATTTGAGTTTCCATTGAGAAAAGGGAAACAATATACCCAAAAAGTCTTAGTAACATCCCACCAGACAATGAACAGCGCTACAAACAAGAAGGGCGGCGGACTAGAGGGTCCCAAGCCAGCTTGGGAGAATGGGAAGAGGGAGCAAGAACTGGGCGTTCGAGTAGGGAGGAGGAAAAGAAACTAACTGGCCAGACGCAGCAGGGAAAGAATAAGGGGTGGGGACACGAGGCAGAGCCAGCCTTCGGCCCGGGGAAAGCCGGCTACCGGCAGGAAGGAGCCCGAAGCGGTGGACGCCTCCCGGGGGACCGTAGAGGAGGCGGCGGGCAGAGGTGCGCCCGAGGGCGGATGGCATCCGCCGCCTCCTTACCTTCGGGCATCTCGCGGTCGCTGATGTGCTGCAGGTGGTGGCCCTCGCCCTCTCCGAAATCCAACTCGGCAGGCTCCACGGCAGCGGGCGCTACCGCCACCGCGTCTCCCGACGCCGCCTCGTAGATGTCGGAAGCGCAGTACAGCTCCGCCGACCCCGCGCGCCGGCCCAGCTTGGGGCTGGCATTGGGGGACACGCAACAGGTCAGCGTGTTCCCCATGGGGCGCCCCCGCGTCTCTCCGCCGCCGCCGGCGCCTTCGCTCGCCCCCTATTAACACGGCCCTCAGCAACCGCCCCCTCCCCCAACAATGGCGCGGCCGGCTCCGGCAGCCCCGGGCTACGCCGGGGCTGCACCACGAAAACAGACACTGCCTCGCCCGCGACTCGCCGGCGGTTCGCCTGCCAGCCCCGCGGCCCGGCCCCAGGCAGGGCTCGGGCCTCGGCCGCACCCCCGCCGCCGCGCTGCCGCCGCTTCCCCTGAACTGACTTGACTGCGAGGGCGGTGACCAGCCCGGCTTATTTAAAAGGGGTGGGGAACCCAACAAGCGCTTTGAGGCGCAGCCACTGCCGGGAGAGAGCGCGGCCGGAGCTCCTCCTCCTTCCGCCGCCGCCTACCGTCTGAGGGCCGCTGGCCCTGGCCCGTGCCTGCCAACCGGAACGCGACCTGCGGTCACCTGGTTAGGAGGAACCAATCACGCCTAGAGTTCCCTTCCGGCGGAGCCCAGGCACGTGACCCACTGCCCCGCCCCCGCCTGGAGGCTGCTCCGCCTCTCACGCAGCCTGCCCTGGACTACGGTTTTCATTCATCGCTGGCTGCTGAGAGCTTTCCGGTCTTGCTGGAAGCGTGCTGGCATTTGCAACTGGAAGCTATGTCAATGATCTCTGTAGAAAGCCGTTGTTAGTAAGGAGAGCATTCCATTAGCAACTCTTTTTCCGAATCTGACAGCTTTCGTTTGCTCACTAAACTTGGTTACACCCGAATTGTTAACTGTTTTTGTAATTAAATGTTCCGCTCCTGTCTTCCAATGAGCGTTAGTTTTCACCTGCAACCTGATCTTAGCAACCCTGGGGCCCTGGTCTTACTCTCCGTAAAGAGTTGTCGCTGTGGGTCTTGAATGAGACTCCAGGACACGTCACCCTTCCACTTCCTTGTCGATAAAATAGGGACCTAACTCGTCCCTGCCAGCTCTGAAATGCTGGGACTCACCAACTCTTGTTTCTTGCCTGTTTCTCTCCTCTAGGCAGGGACTTCCAGATTTCCCTTTTTGTACTAAAAACAGCACATAAAGCACGATTTTCTCACACAAAAGTGAGAACCGTGCAGTGGGGTTCCACAGTCTTGATTCCATGAAAACCATTTGGCAAGCACTATGTGCCAGACACTATTCCAACTGTGGTGTACTCATTTAACCCTTAAAAACAATCCCATTTTACAGATTTTATAGAAGAACTGGGACGCAGAAGTTACTTCCTCAAGCTTACATGACTGCTCTGGGTGAGGGGCCCTGATCATGATGATCAGAAAATAAAAGGTAGAAGTCAAGCTTAGGGAGGAATTGACGTTGTATATTTCCACTTTTTTTCTTTTCTTTTTTTGAGACAGAGTCTCGCTCTGTCGCCCAGGCTGGAGTGCAGTGGCATGATCTCGGCTCACTGCAACCCCCATCTCCTGGGTTCAAACTAATTCTCCTGCCTCAGCCTCCCCGGTAGCTGGGAATACAGGCACGTTCCACGACGCCTGGCTAATTTTTTGTATTTTTAGTACAGACGGGGTTTCACCGTGTTAGCTAGGATGGTCTCGATCTACTGACCTCGTGATCCTCCCACCTCGACCTCCCAAAATGCTGGGATTACAGGTGTGAGCCACCACATCTGGCCAGATTCGTACTTAATTTAATTCTGTTGAAAGGATTTAAGTAAAGTTTGAGGACAAAACAGGTAATATGTTGAAATGTGGAACACTAATAGAAGGAGAAAGGATTCAACAAAGTTCAGTTTCAGTCACCAACATCTGGTTAAATCCTCAGGACCTAGTGACTCCATTCTGTGTTAAAATAATATTGTCTGAGCCTGGCACAGTGGCTCATGCCTATAACCCCGGCACTTTGGGAGGCCAAGACGGGTGAATTGCTTCAGGTCCGGAGTTCAAGATCAGCCTGACCAACATGGTGAAACCCCATCTCTACTGAAAATACAAAAATTAGCCAGGGGTGGTGGCATGTATCTGTAGTCGTAGCTACTTGGGAAGCTAAAGCAGGAGAATCACTTGAACCTGGGAGGCAGAAGTTGCAGTGAGCCAAGATCAGACCACTGCACTCCAGCCTGGGCAACAGAGCAAGACTCCTCCATCTCAAAAAAAAAGTCCGAAGTCCTAAGAATCTCATTAGATACCTTTTTGGATGATTCTTGTAGACTTGAGACAATGCCTATTTTAAGGTACAAAATAATGCCTGCCTTTAACAACATACACACACAAAAATAGATATCCAAGACCTCAAAAACTGAAAAATTTTAAACTTTTCAAAATCTATTCTTATTGGGAAGCATTATTATAGAAATAGATTTTAAAATATTTTGAATGAAGGGAATATTAGAGAGCATTAAGAAAAATTCTATTCTATAACAGTCTGGGACAGCCAAGTCTGGGACAGCAAAGAAAAGCAAGTAGGAGGAATGTGCTTTGAATTAAGCGAGAGTTTGATTCTATGAAAGAAGCTGAGACTTTATACGGGTCCAGAGTTAACATACATTCACTATCCATTTAATACCTGAGCTCTTAGCACATGTCACATACTTTTTAACTAATGGGGATGTTGCTTTGACCACGATTTAAAAAAAAAAAAAAAAAGCTCCTGTTTTTGTGGAACTTCCAGTAAGGAAGTCAACAGAGAACACTGGCCATCACCTCTACCTTCATGGCCTAGGATGGCTATTGATTTCCAGCTATTGGGTTTCCAGAAAGCATGGTGGAGAGGGGAAAAGAAAGAAAGAAAAATTGGTGGGGGGAGGTTGGGCATAGTGGCTCACACCTGCAATTCTAGCACTTCGGGAGGCTGAGGCAAGTGGATCACCTGAGATCAGAAAATCGAGACCAGCCTGGCCAACATGGTGAAACCCCATCTCCATTAAAAATACAAAAAACAGCACCTTGGGAGGCCAAGGCCGGCAGGATCACGAGGTCAAGAGATCAAGACCATCCTGGCCAACATGGTGAAACCCCATCTCTACTAAAAATACAAAAAAATTAGCTGGGTGTGGTGGTGCACACTTGTGGTCCCAGCTACTCAGGAGGCTGAGGCAGGAGAATTGCTTGAACCCGGGAGGTGGAGGTTGCAGTGAGCCGAGGTCGCGCCACTGCACTCCAGCCTGGTGCCTGGTGACAGAGTGAGACTCTGTCTCAAAAAAAAAAAAAAAAAAAAAAAAAAAAATGGCTGGGTGTGGTGGCTTGTGCCTGTAATTCCAGCACTTTGGGAGGCCGAGGCAGGCTGATCACAAGGTCAGGAGTTCAAGACCAACCTGGCCAATAAGATGAAACCCTGTTTCTACTAAAAACACAAAAATTAGCTGGGCATGGTGGCACATGCCTGTAATCCCAGCTACTCAGGAGGCTGAGGCAAGAGAATTGCTTCAACTGGGATCTGGGTGTGGGAAGTTGCAGTGAGCTGAGATGCCAAACTACACTCCAGCTGGGGCATTAGAAGAAGAAAAGAAAAGAAAAGAAAAGAAAGAATGAAGGAGAGAGAGAGAGAGAGAGAGAGAGAGAGAGAGGTAAGGAGGGAGGGAAGGAAAAATTTGTGGAAGGCCCACATAGCATAGCACTTACAAATCATTGGCTTAAAGCTTAGTCACATAGCCTACCTAGCTGCAGGGGAGGCCCAAAAAAAAAAAAAAAAAAAAACCACAGTCATATAGCTTGGGTGACTAATACAGAAGGAAGAGATGGAAGGCAACTAGCACTCTGTGCCACATTCTGTAGGGAAAAATTAAGGAAGTTTCTGTTTAAAGCAAGAAAAATTAAGGAAGTTTCTGTTTAAAACAAGTCCAGCAAGGTGGCTCACACCTGTAATCCCAGGACTTTGGGAGGCTGAGGTGGGTGGATCATCCAGCCTGGCCAATGTGGTAAAACCCCATCCCCACTGAAAATACAAAAAATTAGCCTGGTGTGGTGGTGCATGCCTGTAATCCCAGCTACTCGGGAGGCTGAGGCAGAACAATCTCGAACCTGGGAGGCTGAGGTTGTCGTGAGCCAAGATCGTGCCATTGCACTCCAGCCTGGGCAAGAAGAGTGAAATATTTCTCAAAAAAAAAAAAAAAGAGTTTGTGTCTAAGTCATATGTACATTTTTTTTTTCTTGGCCAAGAGTCTATGGTTATCATCATATTCTCAAAGGTAGCTCTTAACAAAAATCTTAAGAATTACTCTTATGCCTAATATAATGTGTAACAGCTCGACTTCTCTCATTCCTAATTTCAAAAATTAAACTCTGGATTTTTCAGTAAATTGGGCATACGATGGTGCTGGCACCTATAATTTAGTAAACTGCCCAATTCTTCTATTTACCTCTTTCCACTCTCTTCTCCTGAACTATTCCCCTGGCTTCTCTCCTCTACAGCATGTAGATTTGTTTCTGCCAAGTCAGTCAGTTGAGATGAGAAAGCTAATTTATGTGAAATGATGCCTGAAAAAAAAAAAAAAAAGGAAAGGGTGTCAATTTGCCGTATCACCAGGACAGGTGATGCTTATTGGACAGGTCAGTTTCTGCCCCACGTTTCCACTGTGATTCCAGTTCCAAACATCGGGTATTTTATGAGACAAGTTCTAGGAAAGGCTTGCAGTTTTAGGACGCACTAGGAGCTTCCTTTTGCGGTCCTAGGCTCTTTACTCTTCTCTGCCTTATAAACTGGTGTATTTGCTTCCAGTTTCATTTGCCTACGTGCTGCAAGAAGTCTAAAATCTTCCTCAGCTTTTTCAGCCCACTGCTAGACTTCCTCAGATCACCTCCCATTGTGGGTGGAAGATCCTTTTTTTCTTTCTTTTTTTTTTTTTTTCCCAGAAGGGCCTGTTCAGGTTCCTAGTTTTCTAAAGCAAATGCCTGCTTACTCCCAGGTCCAGTGACTATAACGACATGTTGTTTGCAGTTAACTAGTTTTATAAGAGAACTGCTGTCTACACTTGCCCAGAAAATAAACTTACTACAAAATTAATCTTGGAACAAGACAAGTGTAAATAAATAAGCTAGCCAGGTGTGGTGGCTCATGCCTTTAATTCCAGCACTTTGAGAGCCTGAGGCAGGTGGATCACCTGAAGTCAGGAGTTCAAGACCAGCCTGGCCATCATGGTGAAACCCCTTCTCTACTAAATATACAAAAATTAACCTGGTGAGGTGGTGGATGCCTGTAATTCCAGCTGAGACAGGAGTATCTTTTGAACTCAGGAGGCTGAGGTTACACTGAGCAGAGAGCACCATTGCACTTTAACCTGGGCAACAGAGCAAGAATCCATCTCAAATAAATAAATAAATAAATAAGGGCCGGGCGCGGTGGCTCAAGCCTGTAATCCCAGCACTTTGGGAGGCCGAGGCGGGTGGATCACGAGGTCGAGAGATCGAGACCATCCTGGT